TCTAATTTCCTCTAGAAATCTAACTTCCAGGAATTATGTCGACGGCGACGACGAATCGTTTGCACCTCTACAAGAACTGTGCCCGTGCTCATGCAATGCGTGATTCGCTCCGAAAGGTAGGCATAGCTGTTTGTGGGCATCCGTGCTTTATCGTTAGAGCCATGAAGAATTGTAGAGATGCGCTGAGAAGCTCAGAGAGAAGCGTCTAGATCAGTTCGAGTCGCGCCGACAAATGGAATCCATTGTGCGGGAAACGGTAATTATATTTTTTTTCAATTTTTAATCTTTCTGCACGTTTTTTCAGCTCGTGATTGTTAATTATTTATAAGGTCAGTGCTGAAATGAAAACTGGTATTGACGACCTGGATGAAAATGCGTGGCTGGACTTATTCGAGTCGGTCACCAAGGCTCTAGTTCAGGAGCGTAAGTACATTTTTTGTGTCCTCAATGCTCGTCAGTTATGAGTGAGTTGATGTTATTCATCGGTTTATTCTCCAGAGTACGACGATATCCTTCGGCTTGAAGAAGAGCGACTCGCTGCCGACGTTGAAGAGTTTTTGAATCCTCCGGCGTATTGTCCTGCCTGTTTACGGTCGCCACTTGTTTGTTACGGAGAAGTCAGCCAAGTGCAAGGTACGATTAGCATATTTGTTTTTCTCATTCCATTCGAAGGCCGTGAATACGCTTATTTGATTGCCCAGTGAAAATGAAGGTAGAGGTGCTAAATGATGCAGCAGTGAAGAAAAATAGGGGAAACTGCCTAACTATAAACCTGCGGAATGGGACCTTGTTTTGCCGATTGATTTCCTAGCCCGAGATTCTACGATGGCCAACTTCATCACCGTGAACGCTCCGCTTTGCTTTTCTGCTGACCGAGCTAGATCCCGACGGACAGAGGCCAGTGGCTGGCACAGCAAATTGGAGGCGAGTACAGCCGCGAAGGAGGTCACAGCTACGGGTAATGCCCTGTCCTACTTTGCGTCTCAGGCCGTACGTTGCGTACGTTGAGCACTTGCGATTGTTGCAAGTGCCGCAACGTAAGCAGTACGATCGGGAGCGATGGGGTGCAGAGTTGGCGCTATAGATTGGATCTACAGTGCCAACTCACAAGCGCCGCTCTTGCGTTTCTGCGACGGAGCTGGATCGCCAATGGACAGAGCCAGTGCAGCACACAACGGAGCGGTAATAGCCGCGTGTTGCACAGGCTAAAGCGGTATCCCCCTGTAAATCTTGCGCCTCAAAGGCGTAGGTTGGCGGCTGTTCGCAAATCGACACCTCGCAATCGCAGGTCCGCACGCAAAGCAAGGAAGTGACGAGAAGTGACGTGTACAGCTGGCGCAGCGTTGATAGTTGTAATGACTACACATTCCGAAGTGCTGACTGTACGACCTCGCGTTTGCAGCGAATTGCGGTGCTCTCATAGATAGGCAGTATGCGCACCTCCGCCCCATGGTCAACCAACACGTTGTAATGTAACAACGGGGGTCGTACCTGGTTGAGTTTATAGGAGGGGGGTCGTATCCGCTTCAGTCGCGTGAAAGTACATGTGAGTTTGTGGTGAAAGTGGAGTTTTCACGAGTAGTAGGCTAGGTGAGTTGGGAGCGCATGGGAGAAAAATTCGCCGTTTCAGCGCGCGTATATACCCCCCTAGAAAATGAAGCAGTGGGATTATAGGTAGAAGTGGGGTAAATTGGTTTTGAAATTATGAATTAGTTAGTACGATTTACTGTTTCATAGTGGGTATATACCCCCCGCTCGACGGCATTTTTGGAGGAAAAAGTGGGCGGAGTTTGGTGGGTTGAGTGGTACCAGAATTAAATACTATAGAGAGGAATATGGTGGTCGAGGGTCGAAAAGGGGGTCGTACCAAGTCCACCTTGGGGGGGGGGGTCGTAAAAATTTTTGAAAAAGTAACAACGATAGGACTGACCCTGCTCCCCACGACGACCGTGTTACTTACGTTGCGGCGCGCTGCAGTATCGCAATTGCAATTCTATCGTGATTCGTAATGTAAAGTACCCGCCTGCAACCCGTACGAGAGCCGTCCTAACCTAACGAAAATTCTCGTCTCTGTTTCGCTAGAGGCGATCTCTCATAGTTACGTTGAAGAAAGTTTTGAAATCCTACAGCTGCAATAAAGCTAAGCATGGAAGAAAAATTCACTAAATAAGCCCCTGAATGCAACTCGGTCGCCAACTGTTATAATCCGTCCCAACATATTTAAACCACATTTGTCTTGTGTAGCTGCGTCAGAGCCCGCCCGCACCTCGCTTCGCCCGATTCGCATAAGTTCAAAAACGCCCATTAAACATTCCGAAACAATAAATCATAAACGTCCGTCTTCAATCATCAACCGATGTGGATTCGACACCAACAACCATTAGATTTTACTATTCCTAATCAAATCTTGTCAGTTTGAGTCAGGAATCTCCTAGAGATGCAAATTTTGCACATTGCCAAGCAACCGGCGCAGGCGGCCGTCTCTCTGCCAGCATTTGGGAATTCTTGACTCCAACACATGTTTTTCGTGCAAATTCTTAGCGATTATAGTCCACTCCTAACAATGGATATCAGACTGTCTCTTACTCAAAAGTGATTACTAAACATTGTAGGGGCATCACCAGGCTTTGACACTTGCGCATTTCGTTTGTGCACCAACACGCTGCTCAAAATCACGTATTTATAAGTCAGTACCGAGTAGTCTTAAGGCGTCATGTTCTGTTAGAGTTGTCGTTGCGTATCATTTCGACCAGTGATCAACACAGTGGATCAACACCACCAACGCAGTCTGAGCTGAGGCGACTTCTAGCTGAAGGTTTCATGGCTCACGAGGCAACCGAATGTACCGTCAAGCCAGAAGCCATAGAGCTCAACGGCAAGCTTCAGCTGCGGTGTAGCGATTGCGGATTCCAGACAGTGATCATTTAACATCACACCTCGCCATGTCTCTGTATAGTTTTTCTTGATTGAAGCTTATAGGTTCTCTTGGCGCTATTCCAATACAAGAACTCCAAAACTTCAGAAGAAATTCCCGTGAAAATTTGTCTATAGGGCTATCGATGTTCTGATCACGAAAATGACATTCGTTTTGGTGCCCATTTGGCGCTGCACTTTTATTAGTTTTGTTTAAAGTTGATATGTAGGGATTGTTCAGTGCCGATTACGAGCATTACGTTCATTTTCGAAGGCAAAGCCACTCGGCACCGTTAGGCTCCAAATTTGCGTCAGCATTGAATGTCGCATTCATGACCAGGGTACTAAATAATCACTTCAGGTGGAATTTGAGAGCAAAGTTTCTTGTTGAGGTTTTGGGATTCCGACTGGTGTATGTTGCCATTTTTTCTAGTGATCTAGGATATTCACTGTAGGTTCACTGGTATAATTGACGTATCTCTCATGCGCCTTCTATGATACATCTGCCGGTCTGATAATGTGTAATTGTAAATCACAAGTCGTCTCTATGTAGGGTAGCCGGTGCTCTACGACACGCCTCCTCTTTTTTCTTTGTGTGACTTTAGCTGCAGCTTATCGATCCAATCGATAGTTCTTGTGTTTGTATATGTGGAAGTCGAGCTCACTCTCTGTCTTTGTATATAAATTTTCAGAAATGTTCCTATTTTCCAAGGATCCCAGTAGTAGCTTTGTGTCACTTACACGATCACTCGGTGCGAGTCCGTAAAGGCTTACTGAGAAAAGGTGAAAGACTTGTCTATAAGCGAACATGCGCTATCTTCCGTACAGGTTGAACTCGCTCCTTGGCAAGTTGATATTCTTGACCTATTTGGAGTTTCGATGGTCTGATAATTGTCTTTCATCTTAATTGTTT